CTAACTCAATTTGTATGCGACTGCGCGAGCCCGCCAAATGCACGGCCGGTTAAGGTCACCGCAGTTCCTAGCCGAGTTCCAGGCTGGTGCACGCGGAAAAAATCCTCCTTGATCCAGCTGCTCTTTTTCTTTTCCCCTCTTCCCATCTCTGGAACGCCGGCTTTCCTCGCCAACTTGGCAAATAACGTCGACGAGGGAGGGAGAGGAATACCTGGTCGCTTCGTTGTTTCGCCAGGTAATGTGATTATAAGTTGAAGAAAGATTGGTCGCTTCTCTTTTCTTTTTCTTTCTTTTTCTTCTTCTGCGATCCTTCTACTTTTCTCTCTTTCTCTCTCCGTTGCTTGGTATACTTCTCATTACTTATCACACTTCGTACAATTTTCCATTGCGTCAGATGGTGCAACGTTACAATCGTTTGATGATTTTTATTTTCGTTAAAGAGTAGTGTGTCTTCGAAGGAGGCAAATTTTAAGAAAAATGTATTCTTCATTCTGCTTCTTCGATCTTCGATGCAGAAATTTCAATGCTCGATCATTTATGTTGAATCATTTATAAATACGTCATTTTCGGAAAGAAATATAATTAAAATTTCTCGAGATACGTTTAACCAAAGTATTCTTCGATCCAACGCTCGAAAATTGCAACAGCATACATCCTCGGCATACGTTTCGTAGTCCAAATCCGGCCGATCTTCGATAAACATAGTTTCGAAGCGCGTGGTGAATCAGGAAATTTCCACGTGGATGCTCGAAATCAGCCGGATTCGCCACGTTAATGCCACGACGTTACGTGGCTTAATCATATTCCATCAGTCCGGCTTAAACACTCCACTGCGACCAATTGTGCGCTCTTAATCCTCCCACGCTGCCATTCCAGAACCTCTCGATTCGAGTGGCGTGAATATCAATCTATCGATCTATCTATCCAACAAACGAGTTATCGTCGAACAGGAATAACATGTATCGAAGATGATCCGGTCGATGCTTTTTAATTCCCTAGATTTCCACTAGCTTCTTATAACGAATCGTTGGAATGAATTAGGTTAACGGTCCATTGCACGCCGCCATTGCTTTTCTTTACCGAGAAATTTTTCCATTTGATTGATTCTAATTAACGATTGACCAGCCCCTTTAACGACTTTGCTATTTACTAGAATGAAGAAATTATTTTGAAATGTTTTAATGGAAATTAATGATCCACATAAGTGGCCATTTTCTCTCAATGGCTTCTCATCGAGAATTTCCATTTGATTGTAATTAGAGATACATCTCAATTTTCTTCTAATCTATATTATATACTTTGTACAAGTTAAATAGTTATCTCGATTCATTTTTCTTTAATTAATATTTAAAAATTTTTATCACCAAAGAAATTATTTTGGAACGTAACGTTTTTTATTTTACCAATTATATGTCGTAATTATTATAGTTAGCAAGTTTTTTAATCAGTCAACAATCTTCTTCGATTCCCTCGTTCGAAAGGGGTACTTTCCCCCCCCCTTTCGAGGAAATTTCTAAACAAAATCAATGGCTTCTCATCGAGAATTTTCCATTTGATTGTAATTAGAGATACATCTCAATTTTCTTCTAATCTATATTATATACATTGTACAAGTTAAATAGTTATCTCGATTCATTTTTCTTTAATTAATATTTAAAAATTTTTATTACCAAAGAAATTATTTTGGAATGTAACGTTTTTTTTTATTTTGTCAATTATATATTGTAATTATTATAGTTAATATTTTTTAATCAACAATCTTCTTCGATCCCCTCGTTCCCCTTTCGAGGAAATTTCTAAACAAAATCAATAGCTTCTCATCGAGAATTTTCCATTTGATTGTAATTAGAGATACATCTCTAATTTTCTTCTAATCTATATTATATACTTGTATTTTGTACAAGTATATAATCTATATTATATACTTTGTAAAAATTAAATAGTTATCTCGATTCATTTTTCTTTAATTAATATTTAAAAATTTTTATCATCAAAGAAATTATTTTGGAACGTAACATGTTTTTTATTTTACCAATTATATGTTGTAATTATTATAGTTAGCAAATTTTTTAATCAGTCAACAATCTTCTTCGATCCCCTCGTTCGAAAGGGGTACTTTTCCCCCCCTTTCGAGGAAATTTCTAAACAAAATCCCGAAGAGATTCGAAAATCGAGAAATAGGATATCCTGCCTCCCCTCACAGTGCCGAAAGATTCGCAAACGGTGAGAGCCGATCGAGCTCTTCAATTATCCCTTATAGGAGTGAATACTCGGATGGAAGGAAATGCGAGGCAAGAACCGGCTCGGGACCACGGACCCCCTACCGGTTTTACTTCGCCCTACCGATCACTCGAGCGGTCCAGGCCTTCTTTCCCTCCAATCCGGAGGAGGATTCCCTCGTTAATTGCCGTGACATCCTGAAAATCGTACCTCAGGCGAGCCCCTTCTTTTCCTATTATCTTCTAAAAATTCTATTCGATGATAATATTCTCCATCAACTCCCCACTCAATGCGAATCTTTTGCTTCGAAGAGATTTTAATCGGAAGAGGCTCGAAACAATCGATATTATTTTTCATTTATCCCATTTAATTGGATCGTTCAGCCGGATTAGTTCGATTCTTTTAAACGGAGAATGTGCCTATAAATACACTTGTACATCCTCCTTCTAGAAATAACTATCCAATTCAACTGGTCCCTTGTTGACGATAATTCCAGTTAAAATTGCAAGCATATAATTCTAAAGAAACAATAATCTAATTTTCTAATTTTAAAACTTGTGCTTTTTAAATCATCGTTAAACTTTCTTTCTAAATTTCTTTCCGATTAAAAATCACTCGATACCAATCTGCTCCCAATTTCAGCTTCCGATTCAGCGGTATTAATCTTCGTAATCTTCAAAGTTTCCTTCAAAATTATTCTTTCCCATTCGAATCTACTCTTAGAATCCTTAGAAAAATCGGCAATCAAACGCACATTTGTAGCCACACTCGAATCGAAGAAAAGCGTCCACGAAGGCCTTCAAGAGCGGAGAGGAGTAAGAATTCGATCGATAAGAACGCAAGCGTTATGAAACCGTTAAAGATCGACTCGGCCAAGAATCGCGGCCGATTCGAGGGCCGATAAACGCGAGTTTCGTTCGAAACTTGAAACCAGTTCGACGCAAGCGCAAAGCGTGCAAGAATCGGCTCGCGCGCGCTGACCGAGACGATATCTCGCGAGCAGCAATCGGTTCTTCTGATCGCGCATTGTAATCGATCGTAAAATAAACCTGGATTATACATTTTCTTGGACTTATTCCTCGAGAGGAGGATCATCGTGGAAACAAGATTTAGAGCAGGGGAAGGGATTTTGCTTATAGAGGTAGGGGATGATGGAATTTGTAACATGAAGATCATTTGTAGATCGTTTATATAAAAAATTCTTATTTTTGTTATCGTTGGCAGAGGTAGAATGTTGAGATTGTTAAGAATTGTTAAAAAATTGTTAAAAAATTTCTAGCAAAAAGATTTGAATCTTTGATTCTAAGATTTGATAAATGGGTTAATGAGAGTCGCAAGATCTCGATGAACTTAAATTTTCTAAATTTAGATCCATTAATTTCTCGAATCAAGATAAAAAATCATCAGTTTCCATATCTTTAAAAAAAAAAATAAATAATTGATCAGCATTGACTTACTAAACACTATAACTTGTTCAGGAGAAAAAAATGTTCAAAAAAGAATTAAATATTTTATTTAAAAATGTGAACATTCCGAGCCTTTTCTTGAACTCTATAAATTCATCCTGCCCTATTCAATCGTCCAATTGTAAAACAGCAAATTTTTCCATACCGTTTCCTAATTAAAAAATACAACTTGTATAACATCAAAACGTCTGAAAAATCCAAAATCTTAGAAATCATTCGCGAATTCTCGTTGCACGAGGACGGAACAAAAAGCAAAAGCAAAAATCAACAAAACAGAAAAGCATACCGACAAAAGGGTATACGAAGGATGGTTGTTGGAAAGAAAACGCGGTAAAGAAACAGGGGGCGAGGAGCGGAGTGGAAGGAGACGGGCGGAGGATGGAAAAGGGAAGAAAGAAGTCTCTCTCTCTCTCTTTCTCTCTCTCTCCCTGTCGAGAGAGGGCCGAGAGAATAAAAGGAAGAAGTGGAAGGAAGGACGTAGGGTATCGTGTTGGGGGCCGTACCCGCGGTCCTCGGGCATTCCCGATCATTATTCCGCCGGCTTGCCACGGGGAGGAGGCTGACCTTGGTACGAAGGCATGACTGACCTTGTTGCCGCTGCATCCGAGAAACACATTGTGTCGCATCCATCATGCAAATGAACCGGTAATGAATATCAAAACCGAGTCCCCGCGACGAATATATTTCCTTTTTCTTTTTCCTCCCCTCCGATGAGAGCGTAATACATGCCGAGAATACTCGGAATATTCGGCTAAATATAGATATAAATATATATATCAGAGAGGTTCCCTTCGGATGGAGAGAGATACTTTTTGAGAAAATGGAGTTTGAAAAGTATGAAGTATGTTCGAGTATGTGACTTGGGTATCGATGGGGTATGGATATTGGTTTCAGGGAAAGGGTGTTCGGGGTGAAAGTTACTTTGAAAGAAGGGTACTTTGGTTGAGGAGGAAAGTAAGGGCGGTTGGTTGAAAAGAAGGTAGGTTGGAAGAAAGTAAGGGCGTTTTATTAAATATGAAAAGGGAGGAATAAGGATTTTCGCCAAAGTAACGCAGTTTTCTTATAAAGATGAGGATAAAGAAGAAGAGCGTTGCATACGTAAATAATATTTCTGAGTTATTTAGATAGACTCGAAATCCGGCCTTAATCGGCCGAATCCTCCACGCGTTTCCTCTCACAATCTACAAATCCACTTTCACCGGTTGGAATCCGTTTTCCAATCGAAAAAGACTCGCGTTCCGTTGCAATCCGTTTATAATAAAAATCCATCATCCTATATATATATATATTTTCTATCTCTTCCGTGAAACTCACCTTGTGCGTCAAGGCGGAGTCATCTTCTTTGGCCCTCTTGAAACTACTCCTTATGTCGTTGTAGTCTCTGGACGAGTAGCCGTAGTTCTTGTCCAACACTTCTGCGGGGGGTTTGTAGTCCCGATATCCGGTCGGCGAGGGGGTCGTGGTGGGTTGACCCATCAGAGGTGTAAGACCGGTGGAAAGCGCCGTGGAGGTGTCTTCTTCCATTTCGAACACGTCGTCGCTCATGCTGTCGTCGCCCGTCATCACCTGGGGATGAAAAATCGAGGGCGAGGGATGAGTAATGGGGCCATTAGTACGCTTCTCGTTTCGTTTCGAAATTTTAAAAGAATTATCCCGGAATGGTAAATAAATAAATAATAGACGATCTTCGTTCGTGAGATTTCTTGAAGGAATCGATCTTGATTATTTTAACGTCTTTAAATGTCAAAA